CGCGCAGCACACAGCACGCACGCACGCACGCACGCACGCACGCACGCAACGCACGCACGCCACGACACGCACGCACGCACACACACACACACACACACCACACACACACACACGCACGCAACCGCACCACACACACACCACACCACACACACCACACACACACACACACTACACACAGGCACGCAGCACACACAGCGCACACACACAACACACAGCAACACACACCACACACACACACGCACACACACACACACACATACACACACACACACACACACGCACATGTGTTCTGCGCCGCAGCGCGGCAGAGGCAGCCCGCACACGCGTCCGCGCGACGGAAGGCGCAAATTGACCGGCGGCAGGAGGAGGGGAAGACAGGCGAAAGCGGCCGCGAAGGAGGAGGGAGGGAGGGGAGGGCACTCGCACGGCGAGGTGCGCGCACACAGCACACACACAGCACACACACAGCACACACAGCACACACACACACACACACACACAGCACACAGCACTCAGCACACACAGCACACAACACACAGCACACACACACACACACACACAGCACACACACAGCACACACAGCACACACACACAGCACACAGCACACACACAGCACACACAGCACAAACAGCACACACAGCACACACAGCACAAACAGCACACACAGCACACACAGCACCCACAACACACACCCACAACACGCATACACACACGCACACATTTTAGAGCTCGCGGGCCGGGCCACGCCGCTGGCCGAGTGGCAAGTCTGCGGGCGCGCGCGCGCGTAGGCCCAGCAAGAGAAGGCGAGGCAGCCCGCCAGCCCCAGCGGAGCCAAGGCAAGGCAAGGCAAGGCAGGGCGACCGAGGCCGCGGGGCAGGGAGGAGAGCGGGGGGGGAGCAGGGCCGGCTCGGTAGGTCAAGAGAGCGGGCCCTCCTCCCGCGTGACCCGCACGCGAGTTCTTCACAAGGCGCGCCGTCCGTTTTCCCTGAGATCCTGGCGACGCAATTTTTTCGAGCTGGGCACTGTCGCCCAATGTCGGGCCCCGGACCCTCACAGATCGATCCGGCTCGAAAATGACGCAGGAAGCTTGGGTCTAGGGCTCTGGTCGTGATTTTTCACGATGTTCCGATTTTTTCGAGCCGTCGGATCTCAAGGTTGTCGCGTGAGCGATTCCTGACTAATAGCTGAAAGCATCGGGTTCCTACAGAGGGCGACGTCCCTGCCAGCAGCGCCCAGTGCAGCACCCTCAGACTTCGAGAGGGTGGCTTCCTTCGGCCGGGTTCCGACGGGGGAGTTGAGCCCGTCTCCGACGGCGCTGGATGCGTGGGCAGGGGCGTCTGAGGAGAGGTCGTGAGCGGGAGCGTGGGAAGCCGAGCCCGGGGGAGCTGCTCGAGGCCGTCGCTGCCAGCAACGGGGGAATCGGCGGGGCGGACTGACAGGAGTGCGGGGTAAGTCGGCGGTGACTGAGCATCGCTTATCCGATCCCTATCCCCACTGGCGTGACCTGGGCCCCGCTGGCCGATTTACCCCCGAGATGGGGACATGGGCGGCTCCCTTCGGGCTTCGAGGGGCGTATCCCCAACTGGGGTGGTGGGATGGTGGGGATCGGGATGGGATGGGAATGGGGATAGGGATCGGTTGAACGATGCTGAGTGACAGGGCCCGGGGAGCCCGATCGGTGCGCGGGGCTGGCGCTGCAGCGGCGGCGTGGTGGCGCTTTGGAGGGGGCGGCGGAGGGGGCGGGCCACAAAGCCCCTGCCCCCGGGACCGCGTGGGCCGGCCCGAGAAGAGCGAAGGGAATTCCCGAGACTCCAACCGGCGTCGGGTTCGACGTCGGCAGGGTCGTCGGCGGCAGCGTCAGCCCCGGGGGTCGGTCTCCGAGTCGTGGTGGGAGGGTGGGCCCAGGGACGGGGCATCGGGCACGGCGACTCCATGTCTTCGAGCCGGGCGTGTTCGCCCAACGTCGGGCCCCCCGGGACCCTCAGAGATCGATCCGGCTCGAGGAAAAAATGACGCAGGAAGCTCGGGTCTAGGGCTCAGGTCCCGATTTCTCGCGATGTTTCAACTTTTTCGAGCCCAGGGACGGGGCTTCGGGCATGGCGCCGCGGCAACCGACGCGGGTGGTGCCCGAGGCAGCGCCGAAGAGGGGGCGTCGGCCCAGAGGCGGTTCAGCGTCGCGTGCGCCGTCGAGGGCGCAGCAGCAGGCGGTGTCGGCAAGGTCACCGAGAGGGACGTCAGAGAGCGCGTCGGGGTGAAGATGCCAGCGAGGGAGTGGGCCAGCGTCGTGGACGTCGTCAAGGGCAGAGTCGGAAGAAGCGTCAGAGTGAGAGCGTCACTCAAGGGGGGGGGGGGGGGGGGGGCGTCACGGTCGCCGTCGAAGGAGTGGCCCGAAGTGCCTGCGCGGGGTTGGCCAGGCGCTGCGGTCATAGTCGCAGTCGTGTGGGGCAGCTCTACAGGCGGCGCCGGGGTGGGGGCGTAGGCCGTAGGGCTCGCGTCGGCCCAGGGAGGGAACGGCGTCGGAACCGTCGTCGGGGGCGGCGTCGCAGGCATCGCCAGGGCGGGGGCGTCCGCCGAGGGAGGGGACGTCGTCGGAACCGTCGTGGCGTGCGGCGTCGGACGCAGCGTCGGAGCGGAGGCGCCGACCCGAGGTCGGAAAGGCATCGTGGTCTTCGTCAAAGGGCGGAGTCGGAGGCCAGCGCAGGAGGAGGGGCATCGGCCAGGGGAAGGGAGGGCGTCCACCCGTGGGGCTGGGGGGCTTGGGGCCTCTTGCTGCTGGGCGGCACGCGCGTCGAAGGTCTCAGGCGGACCTCCCTCCAGCGCAGCGTCGCCAGCAGCGACCCCGACCTGGCTTCCCCTCCAGGCTCGCACCGCATCGCGTTGGCGTCACAGCACACACACACACACACACACACAGCACACACACACACACACACTGCTTGGCGTCGCGGCCACACACGGCGGCGCGGCGTCGAGCGCCCCACTGCACACGCCTTTTTTGGCGTTGCGGCCACGCGCGCAGCGGCGCGGCGGAGCAAAGGTCGGGCGGAGAGGCGCGCGCGGCTGGCCCAGATCGCGCGGGGTGAGGATGCCGCCCGCAGGGATATCACCAGCATCACTCGCGAGGGGGGCAGTCGCGAGGGGAGCAGCAGGAGGGAGGGGGAGGGGAGAGGGGGAGACAGGACACAGAGATCAGTGCGCAGTCCAGGCGACGAGGAGGGAACGAAGGGGCGGACGGCAGCGGCGAAGCGCGCAGAGGACGAGGCGTCGGACAGAACGACGGAGTTATGTGCAGGACAGGCACAGGGATGATACAGCGGCGAAAGGGGACCAACACACTCTGAACCAACCAACCAACCAACCAAAAGGCAAAGAGACAGACAGACAGATAGACAGACAGACAGACAGACAGACAGACAGACAGACAGGCAGACAGACAGACAGACAGACAGGCAGGCAGGCAGGCAGGCAGGCAGACATGCAGACAAGACAGACAGACAGGCAGGCAGACAGGCAGACAGACTGGCAAACAAACTAGCAAGCAAAAGCACTAACTGACAAACGAGCAAACAAGCAAACTGACAGACAGGCAGACAGACAGACAGACTGACAGACAGACAGACAGGCAGACAGACACACGCACGCACAAAGAAACGAACGAGCGAACAAACGAACAAACATCCAAACAACCAAATTCGCCGGCCCAACGGGCCAGGGCGTGCTAAGATCTCCGGTAACTGGTTAACAGTATTAACAGTATTTCTAGTTCGCGCGCGCGGGGCGGCCCCCGGGGGTCCCCCGGCGAAAAGTACCCCGACCAACGCCCGGTCGCCGCCCGGTCGCCGCCCGACCGCCGCCCGACCGCCGCCCGACCAAGTCTACTCAGAGATGGTTTTCCTTCTGGGTGCGGCCTCTCAGGCTCCCCAGAGCGCGCTCAGAGTGCCCCAAGAGGCCCCCAAGACTGCCCAAGAGGCCCCCGAGACGCCCAAAGAGCGCTCGAAGACGCCGAAGATGACCCCAAGACGGCCCAAAAGGCCCCCAAGACAGCCCAAGAGGCCTCCAAGACGCCCCAAGAGCCTTCCAAGAGGCCTCCGAAGAGAGCCCCAAGAGGCCAAAATCGTTGATTTTCATTGGTTTTTCGATGTTTTTTGTGTTCTGGCTTTTTCGGCTTCCGGACGCTCCAAGACGGCCCAAGAGGCCCCCAAGACCGCTCCAAGACGGCCCACGAAGCTCCCAAGACGGCGCCGAAACGACCCAAGAGAGCCCTCAAGACGGCCCAAGTGCCGCCCAAGACGGACCAAGAGGCCCCAAGACGGGCCCAAGAGGGACTCAGGAGGGATACCGAGAACTCAAAAATGGAGCCCTCCGTCCCAGAAGGCGCCCAGGAGGTCCCAAAGAGGCCCCAAGAGGCCTCCAAGAGGCCCCAAGATGTCGCCAAGAGGCCCCAGGAGACTCCCAGGAGGCCCAAAAGAAGCCCCAGAAGGCTTCAAACATGTCTCCCAGGCGCCCCCGAACGGCCTCTCAACAGACCCCAAGAGGCCCCCCAAAGAAGCATCTTGACGACGACTCTATTTCGCCCCATCGAGAGACGACCCCCAGGGAACTGCTTCACCATCAAAACTCCCCACGCAACGCGTCCGAACGACACCCGCCCCCAAGAGCGCAACATGGGCAACGAACACACAGACAAAAACCAGCGATGCCATATCACGGGCCGGCGGAATGAGCGAAGCGATTCAATAACAATCAAATAAACCAACAACAAACCAACCAATCAATCAAACAAACAATCACACACAAGCAAACAAACAAACAAACAAACAAACAAACAAACAAACGAACGAACGAACGAACAAGCAAGCAAACAAACGAGCATACAAACACACAAACACACGCACGCACGCACGCACGCACGCACCCACAAACAAACAAACAAACAAACAGACAAACAAACAAACAAGACAGACGGACAGGCAGACAGACAGACGGACAGACAGACAGACAGACAGACAGACCGACCGACAGACAGACAGACAAACAGACGCATAAGCAAGCAAAGACGCACAAACAAACAACCGCACAAACAAACAAACAAACAAACAAACGAGCAAACCACGAACTTCGTGAAACCGGATGGAGAGCAGACTTGCAAATCCATGCGTCCAGCGCGCATAGCTCGAAAAGAATACAACCAAGCGCCCATATGTCTGCTTGGAAGTCGTACCTCCCCTCCCTCGATGTGATAACATGCGTATGCAACCACCCGAAGAAATATACATTGCCGAGTGTAGCAGCGCGGAGCTGCATCTCTGCTGCGGCACTTGGAGGTGTACCAGACTTCTCTGCTGCGGCGCTAGACTCAGGGATCTAGCTGCAGATGCGATGAGGCCATGGTCTAGCGCTTGGCACTTGCACAGATGACGAAACAACTCACGATCTGGTGTTCGTCTGCGCTGCAGCTGTCGAAAGGTGTACGCGCACTGGTACGTGCACGTCTGACAAGCTAGATAGCAGATTCCATGGATCACATTGGCACAAGAACACCCCGAACAACCCACACGACAAGCTAGTGTAATCTAGCATGGTGCAATATGGGCCGCCCTGAACCCCCGAAAAATAGCATTAAATCCCCGGCGGAAGAGGATCCTAACCAGAGTACTCCATATCATCCGCCACCGTGCCCCCCGGCGCGTTGAGGCCCAGGGCCGTCTGGTAGGGGTAGACCCTCCCCCTTTCGTCGCAGACTGTCGCATGCATCCGCCCCTCACCACACCCCTCCCGAGGCCACCATCCCTCGTAAAAAATGGATCCGCGCTTCCGATGCACGGTCCCTTGTGAAAAACGATGGGTTCGCGCCCCGAGCTTCCAAGACGAGCCTGGCAAGCAACCAAGGCCGCTAAGAAAACCCAAGATGCCTCCAAGACCGCTCAAGATGGCCCCAAAGCTGCCCAAGATGGCTTGAATATAACCAAAGATACCTCCAAGGGGGCCCAAGAAGGCCACAAGAGGACTCCTGACAAGGTCCGATGAAGCCAAAATGATCGTTTTCTGTAAAGTGTTTGTATGATTTTCGCGTTCTCGCCTTTTCGGGCTTCCGTCCGCTCAAGACGGCCCAAGAAGTCTCCAAGATTGTCCCAAGACGGCCCAAGAGCTCCCCCCGAGGGCCCCAAGACGGCCTCAGAGGACCCGACGATGACCCAAGAGGCCTCCAAGACGGGGCCCAGGACGGCCCAAGAGGGCCTCCCGAGAGAAACAAGACGGACTCAGGAGGCGCTTTGACGGTCCAAGACGGCGCCAAGAAGGCCCCACGGCCCTCAAGCACCCCCCCATATACGGCCAAAGGAGACTAAGAGGGCCCTAAGACGGCCCAAGAGGGCCCCAACACGGTAATGACCCCAAGACTGCCCCACAGGAGGCCAACAAAGCCCCAAAACGGCCAAAAGGAGCTCCAGCCGGCCCTCCTCCTCCTCGTCCTCCTCCTCCTCCTCCTCCTCCTCCTCCTCCTCCTCATCATCATCATCATCAGCATCATCAGCATCATCGTCATCATCGTCATCATCATCATCATCATCATCATCATCATCATCAGCATCATCAACATCATCATCACTCATCAGCATCAACATCATCATGACCATCACCATCACCATCACCATCATCATCATCATCATCATCATCATCATCATCGTCATCATCCTCGTCATCATCATCATCAGCATCATCATCAGCATCATCATGAGCATCATCATCATCATCATCAGCATCATCAGCATCATCAGCATCATCATCATCATCATCATCATCATCATCATCATCATCATCATCATCATCATCCTGCTCCTCCTCTTCCTCCTCCTTCTCGTCAGCATCATCTTCATCATCCTCGCTCGAAGTGTCGTACGTGACGACCTCCCGTGCCCCCTCGAAAAGTCGCCGCCCAGAATGCTGGACTTGCACGGTGGTGGGATTTGCCACAGGCAACTGGATACTACGCTATGGTGCATCATACTATACGGTACCGGACTCTGGTATAATGTAGTATCCGCCACCGTGCCGCGAGGCGCGAGTTGGAGTGTCCTGAGGTCCATTTAGCTCTCTGCCTGAATCCTGAATGAAAAATACAGAGGGGCCACAGCATCGAGCCTCGAAAAACTTCTGGGCTTCTGGGCTCCCATTAGCGGAGCGCCACTCCTGTAAGCGGCATCAATTATGTGGAAGCCGGATTGCCAGACTCCCATTAGTGAAGCGCCACTCCGCGAATTGGACGCGAACCATGCGCACTGGATTGCCTAACTCTTAGTAGCAGAGCGCCGCTCTGCTAATTGCCAGGAGGCGTCCAGGAGACCCCCCTAAAAACCCCAAACAGGCCTGCAAGAGTTTTACCAAGAGACCTGCAATACAAATTAAAGTGGCCTTTAGGTCCAACTCCCAGGCACTGTTGGTAAAGCTTGACTCACGTCTTCTGTCTGAGACGCCTTCAGATACAAGACTGTACTACACAAGACTAAGCTGTACGATAACCGAATGCCAGATACTATCCTTTACGGTCCTGCGTTATACTCTGGTACACTCGAAAACACGAACAGAGACCACGAGCCACGACAAGCGACCACGACCAAAGACCACGACCAGAGACCAGCGACAACGACCAGAGACCACGAGCCACGACCAGAGACCTTGCGCCACGGCCAGATACCACGAGCCCCGACCAGAGACCTTGCGCCACGGCCAGATACCACGAGCTACGACCAAAAACCATGACAAAAACCACGGGCTGCGGATTCGGGAAACGGCAACGCCCCACCGGCGTTAGGAAGCTGAACACGGGACCCTGACAAACAAGCTGCTGCAAGAACGAGGTATCATCTTGAACCCGCCGGCAGCATCACGTGCACTGCTTCGAGCTAGGAGTTCTGCGAAGTTCCCCACGCATCCGTTTCGCGGGGCTCCTCTCGAACCATGTCCTGCCTTAGTCAACTGGCGCACGCCTTCGTGGACTGCGTGCAATTGTCCCCGCAATCACCTACTGGCTCGGTGGTGCTCGTCACGCAAGAGTGCCACCCTCTCTCTGTGCGGAGCTCCACTGGCGAGAGGCAATGCCACCCCGCGGCTCCGCATCTTCTGCACACGGGGCCCGACGAACGCCGCCTTCAGCGACACGGGAGCTGGAAGCCCTACCCCATGTGCCTTGGGTTGCGAGGCCTCTGGTCAAGATCTCCGCCCATGCCGAGCGATTAAACAGAAGGCTCCTATACACCACAATCGTGCCTGGCAAGGGCCGTCCTGGGCCTGGCCTCGGCACGATGTATAACGCCCTGCTGGCCGAAGCCAGAAGGGTCCATACACCTCCCTATTGCCCATCATGGCCATGGACAGGTATGACGATGGTGTCTGGATGCCTTCTGCGGGTGCACGATCCCAGCCCCTGCCGCGCGCTGGAAGAACAAAAAAGAGCATGGGGTAACAGGGCCACCAGAGCATGGCTGGGGGTGAAGTGGGACAGAAGACACGGCAAGCGAGGACGGCTGCGCAGCGTGGTGAAAGAGGGAAGAAGACGGAATATCAGGAACTGTGCCAACCAGGGCGGGTGAATAAGGCGCTGGTGCCCAGACCTGCACTTGTACCAGCGAAGAAGACAGTTCTGCCATACTACTCTGAACAACAACGCCCACACACCCACTAATCGCGTGCCTGGTCAGGACGGACCCAAACATCAGACTTGTAGTAAAGGCAACGAAAGAGCCCAGCTCATGAACGACAATTGCCCCGCGTGCGCACCTCATTTCGGTCATAGTCTCAGGTGCCATGTACGCGGGGGTACCTCCCCCGCACATGTTCTTACCATGAAGCGCACTGACAGATGCGGAGATACAATCTCGAGAACACGAGAACCAGTGACAATGTGAAAAAAGATGTCGGAATAAGCAGAACTAGGAAGGCAGGGAAAAAAGTTGACGCCTCACGATCGCCATCACCACAACAATAGCCATCATAAGCATCAGCATTGCCACCACCACAACCACCACCACCACCACCATCATCCTCGTCGTCGTCATCATCACCATCATAATGATTACCATCATCATAATCAGCATCGGCGTCGTCGTCATCATCATCATCATCATCATCATCAGCATCATCATCATCATCATCATCATCATCATCAGCATCGTCATCATCATAATCATCATCATCGTCATCATGATCAGCATCACAAACCAGCATCAGCATCGTCATCATTATCAGCATCATCATCATCATCATACGCACCATCAGCAACATAACCATCATCATCACCATCATCAGCATCGTCGTCATTATCATCATCATCATCATCATCATCATCATCAGCATCATCATCATCATCAGCGGCAACATCACCATCATAATCATCATCATCATCAACATCATCATCATCATCATCCGCATCATCATCCCCAGCATCATCAGCATCGGCATCATTATCAGCATCAGCATCATCATCATCATCATCGTCATCATCAGAATCAGCATCATCAGCAGCATCATCATCATCGTCGTCAGAATCATCATCTGCATCGCATCATCAGCGTCATCGTCCGTATCATCGTCGCCATGCCCGTCGACGTCATCGTCATATGCATCATCATCAGCATCATCATCATCGTCATCATCATCATCAGCAGTAGCATTATCAGCGTCACCATCGGCACCATCATCCTCAGCAGCATCATCATCAGCATCCTCATGATCATCAGCGTCATCATCATCACAAGTCAGCATCATCACCATCAACATCATCATCGTCATCATCAACATCACCATCATCCCCAGCATCATCATCATCATTATCATCACCATCACCATCATCATCCTCATCATCATCATCATCATCATCATCATCATCATCGTCATCATCATCATCATCGAAATTGTACTCATCATTATCATCACCATCAGCAGCAGCATCATCAGCATCCTTATCATCATCATCATCATCATCGTCATTCCCATCGTCATCAGCAGCAGCAGCATCATCGCCACTAGCATGATTATAATGAGAATCATCATCATCATCATCATCACCATCATCCTCATCATCATCCATCGTCGTCGTCATCAGAATCATCAGCATATTCTGAAACGTCATCATCATCACCACCAGCATCATCATCGTCGTCATCAGCATCATCATCATCATCACCATCACCATCACCATCACCACCATCATCATCATCATCATCATCATCATCATCATCATCATCATCATCATCATCATCATCATCATCATCATCATCGCCATCATCGCGCAGCTGAGAACAGAAGGCGAACATGTTTTACGGCGATGCCTTTGCGTTTCGCGCCTCCCACGCTTGCAATGCCCGTCCCACGGGATTGCTGGCGTCCAGGGGCCGCAGTAGAAGGCAGCGCCATCGTCCACTCTCCGCAGCTCGCAGGCTGGGAGTGTGCCCAGACTGCCTGCACAGGCAGCTGGACTAGAAGAGGTTCCCCCGCTCGCTGGTCCAGTCTTCCTCCGTCCGCAACCCACCCCACGCACACCATACCCGCCCCATCCCCTTCCTTTTTCTCCCCTCCCCCCGCCATCCTCATACTTCTCCGTCCTCGTCCTCCGTCCTCGTCCTCGCTACCATCCTTTCCGTCCCTCTCCTCATTCCCTCCCCCCCCTACTCCACCCATTCCCTGGTAGACGACTCCTCTCCGTCGCACCAACAGACATTTCGGTAAGGCGGTCTGGGCGTTTCGTCTGAGAGCCATCCTAACAACTTCTGATCCTGAAGCGTGAACTTGCCAACAAAGGCACATATGGAGAGCGTTTGGTTATTGAAATGATATCAGCACAACTAATGACCAACACTTGCAAAGTGGGGGGGGGGGGCGGCACCCTTTGAAACACCGGGCCCTCGCCCAAGACTCACACAACCTCATCGTGAAGCTGGGAGCTTCAGACAGCTACACGCATGGAGAGTGGCTCTTTTTCGAAATCGCGCCCTCGTCTGGCAGCTCATCACAAGCTCAGATCAGAAGCCGCAAACTCCAACAGCCGCACGTATGGAGCTGGGCCCTTGTGCTCTGGCGCCGGTGCCGCGCACGTGTTCCAAAGTTCCTCAACACCAGACACGTGGATGCAAGGCGAGCAACTCCTAGACCCCTTTGGACCGTCTGAGGCTGTCGGAAGCCCGGGATGGCAAGAGCACTGAGCTCTGTGCAACCTGGAGGCATCCAGGAGGTCCTCCTGGAACAACCTGGAGCGTCTGCAGGGCCTCCCTCGCTGACCTTCGCCGCCGCGCGTGCGGCCTCTGACCCAGGCGCTCCTTGTCGGC